CACTTCACTTCACTTCACTTCACTTCACTTCACTTCACTTCACTTCACTTCACTTCACTTCACTTCACTTCACTTCACTTTCTTTTATTTTTTTCTTTTCTTTTCTTTTGTTTCCTAGGACTTATATCTTGTTCAAAAGGCCTCTGAGCAGTTTACATTCCCTTCTCACAGTAAGAATAAAGATAAATAAATAATAAATAAAGATAAATAAATAAAATTTATTTATTTATTAAAGATAAATAAATTTAAGAGTAAAAATCAGAATCAAAACCTAACAATGCATAACACCAATTGCAATTATAAAAACTTCAGGAACAATCAAGTATCAAACAAAAAGCCAATTTCTATGCTGCTCAGGGCTATTTTGAAGTAGAGTGCCTAGAAATACCAATAATAAATAAATGAAAAATACAGTACGGTTGGGGCTCACTACTCATAGCATTTCTACTGCCAAGAGGAATGCAATACCAAGAGATAGACATTCCCTCATATATTTTACAAAAAGACACTCATCTATCTACAACACAGAGCTTGCATTTGTTCTACCAGCCTTGTCCTTGTGTCTTTTTCCAATTGTGAGAAGTTGTAGTTTCCTTCTATTAAGCAATGGTCAGGTCCCATCTCAAGTGCTATGTTCAGTTCTGAGCACCTCACTTGAAGAAAGTTTCAGGTTCAGAGAACTTCCCCATAATATAAGTCTTAGGAGAAGATTCTGAGGAATCTAGTAAGCCTTGAGATGACAGTGGGAAGAAAATGACTGTATTCTTCAAGTCCGGGAAGTAGGTCTGTGAAGAAGCTCAAGAGTTGGTATCTATTATTCCAGATGGCAGAATATGGAATAATAGTCTTAAGATACAGGAAAGAAGATTCTAGCTGTCTCTGGAAAATTTCCAAAAAGTAAGGACAGTTTGACAATGGAACCAATGACTCAGAAAGTGGATTCTCCTTCACTGGATGTGTTCAAGTGGAGGCTGGACAAACTTTAACTTGTTTTCCTGCCCTGGGCAGAGGGTTGGACTTCCAACTCTCCAATTTAAGATCCTAGGATCTTTAGTCTTATGTAGGGTTTAGGACTGTCCAACAATGTAGGATTTAGGTTTAGGACTGTCCAACTTATGTAGAGTTTAGGACTGTTACACGTCCCTCCAATTTTGATTCAGCTGGTCATATTGCAGTGAATTTAATCCCCTTTCTGTTCCTTCTGATCTAGATAGCTCTCCAGAGAAAGAACTGTTGTCTCTGTAGGGAAGATGGAGATACGTATGGGTAGAAAGAAGCTGTACTTTTCCCCAAATTGACTTAATACCAGCATATGGGGAGGGATTTAGATCAGAAAAGCCACATCGGGGAGCCATCAGCTCCTCCCAACTTCAAAGAAATAACAATACATGGCTTTGCATTCATCTGAGTAAATGAATAGGAATGTTCACAATGAAAAGAGGTGAGGGCAAGGGTGAACTAATTATATCTGGCCTGAGTGCGTAGGAGACATTTCTTTTATATCACACACCTGCAGTCCCTTTCACAGTGCTTCCCATGAGGTCCCTGGCTTGGTACATGTAGCAGCGCAACTGGAAATACACTGGGTCTAAAAGGAGAAGGATTTTCTATGAGTTCATTTTTCCTTCTGGCTTGTTTAGGTTGGTTTCCCAACGCTATACCCTTTCCCTTATCAGTTCTCAGAGTACCCTCTGGGATTTTAGAATATCTAGGTTCACACGACTTGTTAAATCAGCTGTCCCCCACCCTTTTGGAGATGTTAGGCACAGTTGGAATTGAGCACAGGTCAGGGCATTCCCAAAATAGCATGGAGATGTATGCCTATTCACAAAATGGTGTCATTGGTACCTAAGTAGTTATAAAGCACTAATATAGTGTTTCTCAACTTTAGGAACTCTAAGATGTGTGACTTCAACTCCCAGAATTCCCCAGCCAGCCATGCTGGCTGGGGAATTCTG